TTAAATTTTTAGAGGAACACTACATTTGCTACATTCCTTTTTAAAGTTGGCAGCAGATATTGTCCTTAATGCAAGCTTATTTTTGTTTTTTTAGGTACCGGGAATCAAACTCAGGACCTTGTACTTGTCAGGCGGGTGCTGTGCCACTGAGCTACATCACCAGTCCTTGATGCAAGCTTAGTTTTAAAATATGAAGAATTTAGGGAAGAAATAGTGATCATAAAAATAAATTTACTTAAACAGTATTCATTTTTAAAAAGCAGTTGAAGATTCTGAGTAGCAATTTAAGAAGAATAAGACAGTATTGAAGTTAGGAAAAATCTGATTTGAATTCAACCTTTAATAAAAGTCTAAAACTTAGCAATACAACAAAAGTATTGAAGATTAAACTGTAATGAGAGTGAAAAAATGTTTGTGTGAGTTACAGACAAGATGACTATGCTATGACCTCTTTGCCTAGTCTCATTTTGAGAGCCTCCTTTAACCATTCTGAGTTGCTTTCCCCTCTGTACACCTGAGATAACAATATTGCACATGTATAATCACGAATAGAGTTCCCAGTAGAATTAAATGAACTAATACGAGACTGAAAATTATGCATTGTTACAATGTAAGGCATTGCTTTCAATACTACCTACTAGAAGCTTTCAGCATCCCAAGCATTAGTATTCTTAAAAGACAATTTAAAACTCCACAATTTCTAGTTAGGAAGGCACTAGCTCAATGATATTTATCCCGCACATAGGTACTGGGCTTAGGTCATATTTTTGTGAACTGTGGACGAAATGAAGTGTCTGCACTTAGTTTCTGACACACTCTCACTCTAACCAACACTTTAATACTGGAACAAAAAGTGTGTCCTCCTGTTTCCCAACACGGGAACAGGAAGCAGTAAATCTTGTCCTCCTCTTTCTACCTAAAGACTAGACATCCCGCAGTGACCTTTCTGACAGCGAGCGGGTGCTCTGGCTGGGCAGGCATGCAAGGGAGTGCAAGCCCGGCTTCCAGCTGGCCAGGGCTGCAGTTGGAAGGACGGGACAGGGGACAGGCGGGGCTGGACACCTTTCCTTCCCGAGTCTGACAGCACCGCTGCACACAGGCGCTCTGCCACGGGCTCGTCGGGGCGCATCCAAAGCAGGGTCCGTTACCAACCGTCCCAAGTGGGACAGGGCCGCCCACAGGGAGAGGCAAAGCGAGCATGCAGTTCGTGTTACATACGTGCGCTTGGAATCTCTTCATTCTTCTCTCATGCAGTTGCGGAACGAGCTGCAGCAACGGATGCACGACAGACGACTGGGAGGACATGAACACACGCCATGAGCCCGGGGCGTCCCAGCACTGGCCAGAAACACGCCCCCTTCGTGTTTAAAACCCACTCCACTGGCCCCAGACACAAGCCAGCCCTTTGGAAGCACTTCGGAGAAGGTGACGAACGAGCCAGGAGGGAGGCAGTAAAACTTGGGAGCCCTATCTGAGGTTTCTGCCAGTATTAGAAGAACACTTTCCCGAGGGCCCCAGCTCTGGAGCAGCTGCCACTGAGCGAAACCCTCACTGCACCTGCGGGACGCAGGTGCGCCATCTGCGAGCTTCTTCTTCTTTTTTTTTTTTTTTTTAAATTTTAAAAATAAAAGGAGGAAAACATGAACAGACAGACAACCTTTTCCAAAATAGCAAAAGAACAGTACAGACAATACAGAGTTACAAACAAAGTGGT